GGTTTAGGGTTTAGGGGCCAAACAGGCAGATGAACCTATACCTTTAATGGTAATGGTTTTCAGAAAGCGTCTCTGCAGGAAGCTAATCAATTCAGACTCCCAAAATTATCGTTTCTGCAGGACAGAACGGGACTCAATCAATTCACAAGTACGAACCCTTCTTAAGGTTTATGGGTTTGGGCGGTTTAGGATTGCGGTACTGATGGTAGGTCATTTTCAGCAGGGCGATGAAATGAGCAGGGCAAGCCCAAGTAGGGCATTTACGGCCACATCTAAATGTGAGTCAGCTTGCCGTGGGTGTGTTTGGGGAATGGTTCAGCAAGAAGTAGTCCAGTGGTATTACGGGTTGAAAGTGAGGATATCTAGCATCCTATCAAAGTTCAAATCCAGAACCTGCCCGATTTAGTGGCGAACTGACAGATCTCTAAGCCTTTATGACCCTTAAGACGTTAACGTCTTAGACCCCAGAAGACCTGCATCCTTATCTAAACTTCACACCCTAAGCCCTAAACCCTGAACCGCCTACAATTGTCTCCTTGCAGCGCCCCCCGAAGCTTGGAACATATGGTGCACAGGCGCTAACGCACTCTCCCGCCACGTAGCACTTTAGCTGCGTACCATCGGAGAAGACTTCAGCAAAAGGAGGTGGCGGAAATTGACTGACCCCATGCCATAAAGCTTGGTCTCACTACGCTACACCTGGAGCCCATCCCAATATCCCGAGCCTCAGCCCTCATGCATTGTCTACTCACCGGCTCCCTTGTAGTTCCTATTTGTGACTTAAATGTAAGATCCTATAAGGTAGACCCAAAGAGGAAATACAATGGAGCCTATGGGTAACCATGGCATCTTAAGCAAATGCACCCACCCTAAACCCTACATATAATAATGGAGGAGCCGGACATACTTAGCAATAGTAGTCCTAGTTAAAAGTAGAATATCAAGTACCATAACCCCGATTCGCATTATACGTTAGGGGCCGGAATAGTTTCCAATACTGCTTCTGGTTGGGGGTTCCTTAGTCTAACATAGTATAATCTACTCCCAAAACTCTATTCTAGTTGTTTAAGGCCCCCGTAGTAACCTAAACCCTAAACCCCAGTTGAACCCTTCACCCGGCACCGACTGGGGGAGATTCATCAGGGTGGAGTGTGGGGTTTGGGGTGTGGGGTTTAGGGGTACACGGTTCAGGCTTTTGGTCAGGAGCTGCGGTTTAGGGTCTACTGCAGGGTCTAGGGTGGTGCGATGTAGCATTTTGGGTGTAGGGTTCAGAGGTTCATCAGTGGGGTTTAAACCCTTAACCCGGAACCCTAAACCTTAAACCCTAGACCCTATTAATAACAGTTCAGGTTTATTTAAGTCCAGGGTGTAGCTTTTGAAGGCTTAGGCCTCCAGGACCATCGTGAAGCCATTCTTCCATAGCTCACACCTACAAACCCGAAACCCCCTAGGCTAAACCCGCACAACCCTAAAGCTTGAGCCCTAAACTAAAAAACACCCTGAACCTAAACTAAAAAAGCCCTAAACCCTAAACCCCAACCCGGGACATGCTGATCCGACTCAGAGTCCCAGCTTGTTCTTTCCTAAGGCCTTGCACTCTGCAACTGCGGGATCTTATTGGTTCAGCGTCGAGGCTGTAGGGAAAGTCTCATGAAAGATACTCAGGGACGAAGGGTTCAGGGGTCTAAATCCCTAAGCCCTAAAGCCATTCACGGCCGCGAAGGTTTACCTCGGGCATTGAGCAGCAAGCAACATGTTGTCATAGTCGGATAGCCCTGACCTTATGGGGACTAACAAAGGGGCCAAATAGGTTCCTATACTCTTTTGGGGGTTGCTTATTATAAGTATGGCATAACGGGCCCCAAAACCCCGTTCTAATCATTATAAGGCCCCTACCTTCTGGCTTTGGGGTTAGGGCCCAAGGCCTACAGGGCTTAGAACGCAAAAGCCACACACGTTTGCCGGTTGGACGCGTTGTGCCTTGCTGTCGCCCCTCCATGACAACCGAGGTCACAGCAGTGTAGGCATGATATCTTGCAGCTTCGACTTTCGCTACAGTGAGAGATTCTGTCAGGAGCATATTGCCTGCAAAGATTTCTAGCAAAAGTCTGATCCGGCGAGTCGCAATGAGTATAGGAGCCTCAACACTAGCACTGCTTGCCTACTCCTTCAATCACAGGCTGTGATATGGAATGTGGCACCATGTATCCCCGAAGCCCAAGCCCAGTCATGGCATGGGAAGGCGCCTACACTAAGCCCCCTACCCGAATCCTGGATACCTGGACTCCAAAAGTATGTAGAATAACAGCCTTTAGTAGGTACTGGGCAACTATGTCACCTACTTTATGGGGTTTAGGTAGTGTCTGTCTGATAGCAAGTCAGAGAAATTCCGTGAGGGGCCATGTCGGTCCGGGCAACATCTCAGTGCAGTGCTGGCCTCAGAAAACCTGAGCCGTGAAAGCTCAAGGGGTTGGGGCTAGAACCTGCGGAAGACTTGCTGGTGGCACACCGACCTACAATAAAGGAAATAATATGAATCATGGTCAGAATGGATACTAGTTTTGAAGTAGTATTAGTAATATCAACCTTACTAACTTGACAATTCATAATACAAAAGCAGTTCTAAGTATAGCAATAGTAATCATGTTGATAACAATAAGCAGTACTATTATTTTCAATGAAGATAGACAAAATACAACCAAGGCTAATAATAAACATTAACCACAACAAGATAAAATCACAATAGCAAGAATCACCAATAACAATGGTTATCTCAATAGAGCGCACCGCTGCTACAACCTTCCCCGAGACCGGAAACTATGAAATCTAAACCTTTGCCCCTCTGAACCGTGAGCCGTAATCCCTAAAACCATGAACCACTGAACCCCAAACCCTAAACCCCAAACCCTAAAACCCCAAACCCTAACCCCCAAACCCTAAGCCCCAAACCCCAAACCCCAAACCCCGAACCCTATAACCCTAAACCCCAAACCCCGAACCCTACAACCCTAAACCCCAAACCACGAACCCTATAACCCTATAACCACACCCAAAAGCCCTAACCCCAAACCCTAAAGCGATGGAGACGAGGCTGGGGTCGGCCCCCGATGCATCTTTCTGACGGCACTGGCCGAGACTGGTGCGCCGTGCGGTTTAGGGTTTAGGGTTTAGGGTTAAGGGGGCGGAGGGGTTTGGATGGACATGGGGTGGAGGGTTCGGGGGGTCTTGTTCTAACTATTGAGGCCCCCACTATAGATGCCTTATAGAACCCCCCTCCGCCCCCCCAAAAAAAACCTGTTCTAATTCTTAAGGCCTAAACCGTTACCCTAAACACTGAACCGCAAAACCCAAAAACCCTAAACCCATAACTCAAAACTCAAAACCCTACACCCTATCCTACTTGTTAAGGCCCCTACATTATATGGGTAGTTCTCTAAATTAGGGTCCCTTTTTGGGTCCCCAATAGAGTACGGCACCCTTATAAAAAAGAACCCCCAAAAGGGACCCTAATTTAGAAAACTACCCATATGATTCGCCTGCAGCGGTCTCCAAGCTCCTGAGATGCGGAAGGGCTCCAATTGCGCAGCGGGAGTGGGGTTTAGGGTTCTGGGGGTTTGGGGTTCTGGGGGGGTTTGGGGTTTGGGGGTTTTGGGTTTGGGGGTTGGGGGTTTAGGGTTTCGAGTTTTGGGTTGTGGGGTTTTGGGTTTTGGGGTTTTGGGTTTGTGGGTTTTGGGGTTTAAGGTTCAGGGTTTGGGAGTTTGGGTTTTGGGGTTTAGGGTTTAAGGTTTAGGGTTTTGGTGTTTAGGGTTAAAGGTTTAGGGTTTAGGGGTTTAAAGTTTATGTTTGAGGGTTTTGGGTTTGGAGGGTACCGTTTGCTGTAGTAGGGGTTCTACACGGATCTTACAAGGTTCGCTATTTGGGGCAATCGGGTTTTGAGGACGGCTCTTTAACTCCCTAGTTAAGCCCTACATCCATGAACCCTAAACCCTAAACCCATAGCCCTAACCGCGTCCCAGAAGGCCCGACGCCTACTCCTAAAACTCATAGACTCTAGACCCTGTGCCCCTAACCCGAAACTACCTGAGGCCTATTGAGAGCCCAAGCCTCTGATGCGTACACTGAGTTCCTTGTGGGCACCTACAAAATCTTTACGGAGCTTCCTTGGGAAAGCTGAATGAAAGCTATAGGCTCTAAATGTACAAGCTTTTGGCTTTTGCGAACCTTAAACCCTAAACCGTAAACTGCAATCTTTCACCAACCCGAAGCCCTATATGCTACACCTACCCTGAGAACATCTTCGGTGGTTTGATGATTTCGGGCCTCGTACGAGGAATAACATCGTCAGTCTTGCCTTCTCGAATTTAAGGTTTCAGGTGTTGGGTTTCAGGTTTCGCGCATCGGAAATGAAGTTCTTGGTTTCAGGGTTGCGGGCTACAGTCCTTCACACTTTTGTAGTTCATTGAAGGAGAAGTCGTCAGTTCAGGATATTACGGCTCCGGGGGAAGAAGTCTTTTGCAATCGCTACCCTATCCAGTGCGGATAAACCCTAAACCCTAAACCCTAAACCCATTGTCAGCAGTGTACACACACATGTGGACAGAACTTGCTGCCTTGCTGCTGCGATGCTCTTTGTTGTGATGAACATGCATGTCATGTTTCGCTAGTGAGCTCTCGTGGGTACGAAACTCTGCTTTGTGGCTGAAGGCCGTTTGGTGTAGTTGTACATCGAAAATCTACAAAATCTTAACCATGTGTTATGTTTTCACATAAACTCCTGAACCCTAACCCTAAACCCCAAACCACTACATCCTCAATAAACTCCCTGCCTGTTGCTGCAGAGCCCCTGGCCTTTGGCCGAGCCACGGCAGGTACATCCTCGGGGATACGCGGATGAAGAATGGCAGATGGGAGCCACCAGCCACGAAGTGAGGAACTGAGTTCTGCAGTTCTTGGGTTTGCAGCTGCGTGCTGAGCACATGTGTTCCTGGGCTCTAGTTAGCTACAGCTTTATGGGTTCTACGTATTGATTAAGGGGTAATGGCTACCAAGCTGTAGGTAAAGAGAGTTACAGTTGGGTTTCAGGTTTAGAACTCTGGACTTCTAGTGTTGCAAGCCTCTGGAAGCCGGAAGGTTCAATGTCAAACATTCCGGATCCAAAACCTTGAGCTTCGAAATACCCGATGATAAGCAATACTGTTGATGATATAAATCCTGCGTTGCCTTAAGGACCCTAAACTATGGGAATTATGGCATATTCGTTATTCTGGATACTGCAGGAATAATAAAATAAACAGTACCATTCCTGATGCCGGTCCTGTCTACTTGCAAAGATTTTGGTTATTGGTCCAGTACAAACGCCTGAATTATTCGACATCATTCGACTACAGCTTGGTTGGCTTCTGTACTAAAGCTCCAAAACTCAATCATACGGAATCCGGAACGGTACGACTGATTGATCCCCTACGGTAACAACAAAAAAACGCACACACATCTAATGTTGGGGGCTTAATAATTACCAATACTATGTTGTGAGGTCCTTCTTTTAATTAGAGTAGAATGTGCCCCAAAGCCCTATTCTCATTAATAAGGTCCCTACAGTATGCACGACATGGCCGACCGACTAAGTCTTGCCCCACCAATGACCAAGGCCCCTTGCGACCGGGTGCCAGTCACCGAAGCTATCGCACTGGGAAGACAAAAGATGCTAGAGTCTAGAGTCTGTTGTTGTGCCGGCTCGATTCTCCTGCACACCCTCAGATACCTACGCCCACGTATCATTTTAGACTTTAGTTAGGGTGATTTAACTAAACGAAGCCTGCGTAAGCCTCAAAGCCCTCACACCTCCAGGCCCTAAAACCCTAAAGCACGACATAAACAGCCCTGAGCCCCAACACCCCAAGAACTTAAAGCCCTAGCATACCCCTCCAGGCCCATGGGGCGAGGCATCAGCGAGCTGAAGACGGCAGCGTGCTCAGCTTGTTTGGGTTTAACAGGGTCTGATAGGAGGTTTCTCAGGAGTTTATAGAGTTCCATATCTCGTGTCAGGCGGTTTTCTGACTGATCTCGTTGTGTCTGATAAAGATTTTTAGGAGTTGGAGTTTGGGTTCGGAATGTGGGGATGGTTTTTGTTCGAGACTCGGCTTAGCATTACCCTTGCAATAAGGATCCTCTCTACATGGGTCGTTTCTCTTCCGAGTAATTCCCAGATGATCATGAGCTTCTAAACCCCTAACTCATGGGGCCGGGGCCGGGATTCAACGCCCCTAAGCCCCATGCCTTTAAACCTTAAACCCTAAACAATAAAACCTTTACTAGGAGCCTTAAATCCTGACCCAAAGCATCTTCCCCAGCCCTGCAACCCCAAAGCCCAACCCCTCACTGCTTGAAGGGCTGCCGGAGCTATCCAACGAAGAGAAGGTGGCGAGATTTGCCTTTTAACCGGATATTATCCGGTGCCAGTACGGTGCCTAACTGGGCTGACAGATGTGTTGTTAAGCTGAATATGCGGGCGGTAAGAATACCGGGCTTTCGGGTATAATTGTATGCGGATTTTGTGCTGTATATGGTTTCAATGCTGGCGATTGGGTTCTGGGGCGGAAGTTTGATTTTCGGGGTCCTGCCCTTCTCTAAACTAATTTGGAACTCCCAACAAGGCTCCCAAAGAAAGCAGTGTATAACTCCCTGTTGTAAGGATCTGGATTTTAGAGGTGGGTACTGGACAGGTTCTCATGGACGCAGCCGTCAGCATTTCCTTGGGTTCAGGGTTGTTGGTTTGGTTTCCTTGCTTTGGGGACAATCTTCAGGGAAATGGCACCATATCTAGAAGTGCTGAGGAGCAGACGACGTTCAAACAAGCCAACCATTACACGGGCCTGATCAACTACTGTAAACCCAAACCCGCAAACTTGTCAGGACTCTAAGTGTGCAAGTCATAATATGTATGCATGCATGCATGTACGTGTGTATGTGTTTGTATGTATATGCTTATGTTTATGTATATGTATTTGTATATGTATCATGTGCATGTGCATGTTTATGTACATGTCTATGTATGATGTATTGTGTATTGTGGTTTATGTATCATGTATATGTATATGCATATGCGTACGCATATGCATGTGTATTATGTATGTTGGTGTATACATATGCATGTATGTACGCATGCATGTACGTCCGTATGTGTGTACGTATGTACGTATGTACGTATGTATGCATGTAAGTATGTAAGTATGCATGCATGTATGTATAGTCGAAACGAAGGTAATGCAACTTAAACAGACGGACTCTTCTTCCCAACTTTCCAAAGTCCAATTTCAATCGTCCGCACCCTTAGCTCCGAAGAAACGAACTCCTTGCACAGCCCAAAGCCTCCACCCTAGATCTTATACGTTAGGTCCTAAGGGTCCATGTACCCAAATAGTATATACTGCTGCAGATGATATAAATCCTGCATTGCCTGACGGACCCTAAACTATGGGAATCATGGTATATTCCTTATTATCGGTAATGCAGGGTTTATATCATCAACCATATGGCCTTGAAGTAATCCCTAGTGAAGAATTTGGGGCCAAAGTATATATGTGTTGGGCACATGGACCCTTAGGGCAAGTCCTAGGTCCTTTCTTCACTCGTCTATGAAGCGCTAAACCCTGAACCCTAAACCCTAAACCCGCCACCCCACGTCCTAAGTCGGTTCTTCACTCTACTATGGCCCCCACCAGGCCATCTCCCGAGAAGAAGCTCCAGACGCTGTCGCTGTCGCGAAATGTGCAGAAGAGGCTCTTTAGGGGTTCAGGGTTTCGAGTCTAGGGTTTAGGGATTTAGGAGTTTTTAGGGTATAGGGTTTCGAGTTTAGGGTTTCGGGTTTTTAGGGTTTAGGGTTCCTTCAAGGCTTGAGGGCTTAGGGTTTTTTTCAGGGTTTAGGGTTCAGGGTTCCCTTAAGGGTTTGGGGTTTAGGGTTCAAATTTTTCAGTCCGGGGTCTGGAGATCACGATTTCGGGTTTTATTTGGGGCTGAGGCTTCGGGATTGAGGGCACCGCAGCTAAAGAATGGAGCTCTGAATACTTAGCCATCGCATCTTTTCATAATCCCTGTTTCACTGTACTACAGTTCAAACACCTACTATAATTGTTCAAACCCCTACCCTGCAACAGCCTATTCTAACTACTGATGCCCCTGCATGATATTGGCGATCGACAGAACTAACGCCATCAGAAATCAGAAGCATCTGCGCCGGGGGCCCAAAAGCTCGAAACCCAAGATGCTCGCAACCCTGAGCGGTTTAGGGTTTAGGGTTTAGGGCTTTGCCAAATTCCCATGAACGGGGAAGATAAGACCTCTCTAGAGTTTTGCACGGATTTTATTGGTAGTCCTGAAGGGCCCTTCTTTTGGAAAGGTGCCACTTTGAATTGTGATCGCTCCCATACCGCCGCAGAGACTTCACGTGCTGCGGACATACAAAGCTCAAACCTGAACGTGGATTTCAGAAACTCGCAAGCACTCTTATAAGCCCTACAGCCCTAAACTTTCAATCCCTAAACGGCCCTAAACCGTAAACCTCAAACCCTAAAGCCTAAACCGTGCGAGGAATTCTAAGCCCTAAACCCGTAATGGAACCCTAAACCCTAAACCCTTAAAGGAGCCCTAAGCCCTCAACCGTCAAAGGAACCCCAAGCCCTTAAAGGAACCCTAAACCCTAAACCCAGAGATTCTAATACCCCTTAATTAAGGAATATACTTTAAATTATAGTAGGATCCCTCATTAGATTTAAGGTATATTCCTTAATTAAGGGGTATTGGAGTCTCTGGGAACTTCTGTAATTCCGAGACCTGAAATCTTTCGTGGGAGGCCTCCGAGCGAAGTCATCGAGCGGTGGCGACAGCAGGCGATCCGACCGTTTGTGCAAACACACGATCTTGAAGAGGCTTTGGGTTTAGGGCTTAAGGGTTTAAGGGTTTAGGGTTTAGGGTTCAGGGTTTAGGGTTAAGGGTTTAGGGCTTAAGGGTTTAGGGTTTAGGATGTTTAGGGCCTTAAGGGGTCTTCAGGGGATCTATAAAATAGTTCTATGGGAATGGGGGTCAGGCTTATATGCGGGTTCTTGGTGTTGCTTAGGAGCCTTTTTTTCAGATTTTGCTCGTGTAAAGGCCAGCGTGTTTTGTTGTAATGAATATTTTGTATGTCCCGTCTGAGGCTGAACCCTAAACGAACCCCCTAAACCCTAAACCCTAAACCCTAAACCCTAACCCCTAAACCCCTAAACCCTAAACCCTAAACCCTAAACCCTAAACCTAAACCCTAAACCCAACCCCTTGAACCGTGTACGTCGAAGGGCTTCGGATGCGGGTATCCTCTCAACCAGTTCGCCTGAATAGAGGCTTTCTCAAGGGCTTATCGTCTGGTTCGTTGGGGTTTAGGTGGGGGGTTTAGGGCCTTACGGGTTTAGGGTTTAGGATTCAGGGCAAGATTCGCGGTTAAGCCTAAACCCCAACACCGTGGATCGATCCTAAAGCCTTAGATGTAAACCTTAAAAGCCCTAAACCCTTCATGACTAACCCGCCTTGGTCGGTGAACTGCCCGCCCAACCCGGGCTTTTGTCACGTGCCAGAAGCTTAAGACAGCAAAAGCGGTGCCTTGATGCAGCCCTTATCGTCCTCCATAGTGGGCACTTGGGGTAGGAGAGAGCGAGCATAGTTGGGGGTTCCAGGAAGGTTGAGGGGTTCAGGTCGGAATGCCCGTCCACCCGAACTCTACTATAGAAGCCTAAATAATTGTACAACCTGTCCCAAAGCTCATTAAGGCCCCGATAGTAAACCCAAACCGGGAATCCATTTGAGGCCGACTACGCAAATTCCCTCTCACGGACACCGAGTGTCGGCTCTTCAGCACATGGACTGCTCCGGGTCTTACAAGGGGCTGGTGGGGCCAGAAAGTTGTTTTTTGTTGGGGGTTGAGTTGGTTCTTGGTGTTAGGAGCATGAGGGGGGGGGGGGTGAAGGAAGTGGTGGGAACGACTACTCGATTGTTTTGGGGGCTGAGAGAGCGAAGTTTAGGGTTTAGAGAGGTTGAGAGGAGTGGAGTTGAAAGGTTCAGGGGTTGTGTGGCTGCATGGTTGGAGCATCCAGGGCTGACGCCTCGAAACTATTCTAGCTACGCCCGAAGCTAAACTGCCGTAAACCTAAACCCCTAATTAAGTCTTCAACCCCAAGCCCACGAAAGCTAAGGATCAGGACCGATGTTCCAAGCACACGGATGGATCGTTGTGCCGAAAGCCCCCGACGATGCGTGGATGGTCGGAAGAAGGCCGCACCCTGGAAGGACACAGGTTTGCGAGCATTTCGTGCGAATGTTCTACGGCACCCCCTCATCGTACCATTGGTGGGATGCGGCAGGGCATCGGCGGGAAGTGCGCCAGGCCAAGGGGTGTAAGCACGGAAACCCCTTGGCCAGTAAGGAATTGGACCCAAGTTGGGCACGATCGAGCCAGAGCAAGGGCAGCGGCACGAGCTATGAAGCATTGCTCATGATCCCTGCACGACCGCTGGATCAAGTATGCAGACGAGTTGCCGAAAAAAGCCTCCACCCAGACAGTGGCTGATGCTGTTGACACGTTTGTCGTGGCATTGGCCCGCCGTGAACCGTTTGAGGGGTCGCTGTCCGAAGTGATGGCACATGCACATGTCCATGCTCTCGAGAGCGGATTCGGACCAGTCTGGCAGAAGCAATCATGACAAGCGCATTCTGAAGGCATGGGGAAGCACATCTTACTTTCGCTTGCTTCAGAACCCACAAAGTTCCCAGACCCGGAGACCCGAGCCTTACGCCGCCCTTCAGGACAAGGTGAACCGGAGGCTTTACCTGTCTTTTACTCTATCCCGCACAGCTATGGCATCTAAGGCAAGCATTTGATTGAGAATCTCCGGTTTCCCTGCTAAAGTTGAAACAGTACGATGCTGATCAGACAGATCCTTGGTTTAGATTCTAGGGGACCTGCGTATAGCACAATGCGACAATTGTAGTAGCATTAGCAGTAACACTCATAGTTGTAATAGTAAGAACAGGAAGAACAAACATCCTTTACTTGTAACCTTAAGAGCAACAAGAGGCATGATAGCACAAGATGATAATAGTAAAAATACGAATGCTATAAATACTACAATAATACTAATAATGCTAATCGTACTGATAACACTAATAGTCTTTGTGTTAGAATAACTTTCCTAATTACCCGATAACAACAAACAGAATAAAAGTCAATGTGTTTGAGCCATAAGTTCTTTTAGGGGGGTATACAAAAGCTGGTGGATCGGGCACTTGCAGGCTTGGGGGGCGGGGGGCCGTCAAGTAGGAACATTCCATTTCCTGAATCTCCAAGTTGGAAATAAGTGACCCTCTAATGGAATCCCCAGCAGTAGGATCCTGTTTATACCCCAAAAGGCGGCATTCCTTTTTGCCTTAGCCCCCAAATCCCTGAAACCTAAACGCCCTAATTTTCCTTAACCTCAACCCCCCAAACCACTAAATCTCAAAAGCGCTTAGGGTCTAGGGTTGGACATCCCGCAACCAAAAAATCAATGGCCAAGTTGGACGTCGACCCGTCCATACGGCTCCCCGAAGCCCCTACGGATGCGCGGGGAGCTCAGCGCACGACGCGGGGCTCTGCGCTTGGAGTTAATGTCTGAGGACTTTGGGAGTATGGCAAAAGTTGGAAACCCAATAGCCTCAATCCTTAAGATGTATAAGGAATCCCAGCACTAATTAATTGTCCTTAATCTTGCTTTTTTTGGGGGGTTTACTATAAGGTTTAGGAGTTTAGGGCTTCAGGTTCAGGGCTTAGCCTTCAGGCTTTGGATCTAGGGTTTGGGATTTTGTGTTTCTGGTCTTGAGGTTTAGGCTTTGAGATTTTTGTTGGGTTTAAGGCTTAGGGTGGCCCTTCCTTGACGTAGAGAACCTAAATCCGGGTGCATTTCAAAGAGTAGGTGCGAGCTGCTGGTTCCAAACCTTCTAAGCACGCCCTAACCCCTGATCCGAGCGTTTCGGGGCTTGCGTCCTTAGGGTTCAGAGATTAGGGTTTAGGGTTTAGGGTTTAGGGTTTAGGGTTTAGGGTTTAGGGATTTAGGGTTTAGGGTTTAGGGTTTAGGGTTTAGGGTTTAGGGTTTAGGCTTGCATGCCAGAACCTAAACCCTCAATAAATGTATGAGCTCTCGGGTTTGTTCGGGCCCTGTCCAATCCAGGGCTGATGCCGAAGCCAGCAGGGCTTTCTGTCAGGGTGTTACTTGGGGGTTATGAAGATGAGGGCTGAGCCATTTATGGGTTTAGGTTTGGAGTTTATGAGAGTGCGTCCTAAGGGTTCGTTGGTTTTCTAGAAGGATTCTACACGGATTCTACAGTGTGGCTCTATAACATGCTGCAGGATTCGATGGGGTTTTGGGCGTTTTGAGGTTTACGGCTTGGGACGCCCAAGGTTTCTCGAGCTTCTAAGACGAGGTTCTGTAATTGCAGAGTGCTGCATGATTCTACGGGGCTTGGGTGGTTTCTGGTTTGATATCACCTTGAAACCCCTAAGTCCGAATAGTCCGCACCCTGACACTTAACCTGAGAGCGAAAAAACCGGTGCCAAACCCACCAAGAAAGCAAGGAACATCACTTTAGCTAAAACCGGGTTGATCCATCCCAAAGATGCCCTGAACGAACGAATCCATAGTTGAACCCCAAAGGTACTCGTACTTCTCAGACAACCGAATGGTCCGTCGGATCGCCTTCAGCCGGAGCCTCGGGTAGAAGGTCCTTTAACAGTTTGAATAGGGTTCGTTTAAAGGGTTCCCCTTTATAAAGGGTTCCATAAGGGCTACCATAATGCAGGGGATAGGGTTCCTTTTAAGGGTTCTTCAATAGGGTTCTTTGCAGGGCTCGAACGGAGAGTTCCGTAAAAGGGCCTTAGAAGTCTAGAACGGGGTTCTTTGAAGGGTTCTATAATGTAGGGAGCGTAATGGTTTCTTCAATAGGGTCTTGAGTTTTGGGCTCCTTTGTAGTTTATAAGTCTAATCAGGAACCCTGAGGAATAGTGATGGTAATTAGTATTTGGTCTGGTGATAGAGGTTTTCAGGCTTTTATGGTGTAGGTAGAGACCCTTGATCAGCTCGGACTATCGGAGCTTTTCTCGGGGGTCGGCAAATAGGTCTTTCGTTTTTTGGGATTGCAGGTTTTTGCTTGTGAGGCCTCAACAGCTGAACACCTAAACCCCTAAACCCCAAACCCTAAGCTTAGTAGAGACGCCTCAGGACGTCGGGGATGTTCGGTTCGTTTCTCTACGGTGTTGGGCCGACGAGTGTGAGGTTATCAACAAAAGTGCAGGATTCAAACGAGGAGGCTCGCGGGGTTCTGTCACGGATTTCTCGTTTTTGTTGGCAACTCCAAGGGTTGTGTTCGATCGAAGGGCCTTATAGCTCACCTATGAGGTATCGTTCCTGTTTTTGGTTTCACCAATTCTATATTTTGCATCCTATATAAGGCAGAAAGTTTACGTGAGGTTTATCGGTCAGGGCTCCCGAAGTTGTTGTGGACGTGTTGCTCCAGAGGCGTAGGCTTGGGGCGCGAGATTTGCCAGCATTTTCAGAGAGACCAATGCCGTAAAGGGGCTTCACATTATGATTAGACTTTATTCCTTAACTAAGAGCCCTAAACCAAGACCCAAAACCCTGCACACTAAACCCTAAACCAAAACCCTAAACCCTAAGCCCTAAACCCTAAGCCCTAAATCCTAAGCCCTAAACCCTAAACCGAAATTTATTTCACCTGTTCCATCCGTAACGATCCTTGGCCCAAAATCTGCGCGAGCATGGGAGAAAGGAGCCAATGGTAAATCCAAAGGCAATGACTGAGCCCATGGGCCCCATAGTAGTTCCTTCTTGGGGTTACCTTATAGGATTCTAGATATGAACCCCAAAAAGGGCTCATAGTAGTTCCTTTTGGGATTACCTTATAGGATTCTACATATGAACCCCCAAAAAAGGATTTACTATTGGGCCTATATGAACCCCCAAAAAGGAACTACTATGGGGCCTAGGGGGACTGAGGAGATGAGTCTCAGAGAAGCGATTCAGCTCCAGAATCCGAGCTTGCCGGCTAAGGCTCCGTAATTATCAAGGCCCCTACATTGCTACAGAGCACGGAACAGTCGGGCCCTTATCATAAGGGGTTTAGGGTTTAGAGTTTAGTGTACGAATTGCGCGGCAAACCCAGAGGTTCTCGTCTGCTCTTGCCTTCAGCCGAGATAAGATGCACTTTACCCTGGCACTTCTACCTGTTGATCTTGGCAATTTACAGCTCTCCTCAAGGTGAGCGGGTCATCGACCGAGTCGGCCCCGACACCTTCAACGCGTATGTTGTCGCGCTTGCTCTTCGAGTAAGGCATGCCTTCTTTTGCCGGTTGATGGCGGCCGCCCAATTCAGGTTCCAAGCCCTTATGTCACGCACCCCAAAACTCTGGGCAACCCTAGGCCCACACCTTATCGACAGTATACACATGAAGCTCCATTGTAGTTCCTTTTCTATACGATCCTAAATTTAAAGTACTACAAAAAAGGAACTACAGTGGAGCCTATGGGTATAGAAGCCCTTAAAGGAAGCTTGAATGGCATCGAACTCTCAAACTCCCCCCTAAACCCTAAACCCTAAACCCTAAACCCTAAACCCTTAAAAAAACTAAACCCTAACCCTAACCCTAAACCCTAAACCCTAAACCTCAAACTCCCCAAGCACTACGCCTCAAGGCGGACTCCCGAAGCTTCATCAGGCACCTACGCCCGGCTCTCGGCGCGGGGGAGGGAGGGGGGGGGGGGAATTTGGGATCTTCGGTTCGGCTCTTTCGGGGCCAAGGGCCAAGGGCCTCTGGGGCTTGTTGGTAGGGTTTAGGGTTTAGGGTTTAGGGTTTAGGGTTTAGGGTTTAGGGGTAGGGTTGGTTTTTGAGGTTCTGGTTTTTATTAAAACCGTCTCATTCCACAAGATCCTCATTATATGTTGTAAGGATCCCAAAGTAGGGTGCGGGTACCACTTCTTTCCCCTCAGAGACTCCGAAACAAATCCCGCCCAAGGCCGCAGCCAATGCAGCTCGGCTCTTGCCACAGCGTGCGCTGCCGAGCTGACTGTTGCAGTGAGCCTCGTACAGTTGGGTTTGGGGTTTAGGGTTTCTGGTTTACCCATAGGCTCCTTGGTAGTTCCTTTCAGGGATTACCTTTTAGGATCCTAAATAGAAACCACAAAAAGGAACTACAATGGAGCCTATGGCTAGGGGTGGAACAGGGAATGAGATTGAATCGGATGCAGGACGACTACCTCTCCTATAGTACTTATACAAGGATTACTAAAGACCATCATCTATCGAAATGTACCTAAAGTATATAGTTACTACATTCTAAAGTACCTATATATGGATTACTTTAAAGCCAACTTAAAGCATATAGTTATTCCATCCCAAAGTACCTTTATAGGGATTACTTGAAGCCAAATATATCTATATATATATATATACATGGTACCCCCCCCCCCCATGTGCCTACCTTCCTCTCTTCTTTAACTCGACTTGGACCTCAACCAGCCTCCTGGGGTCCAGGGTCTGGGGTTCTCGGAGCTTCATGAGCATCTAGCTTTATGGCATCAGGAGCATCTTTGTATGCCGTCATGAGCATCGTACGCGTGTACAGTCTTTCGTCCT